ATTAAATAGTAATTCTTTTTTTTGTATATTATATAAGTAATACTTTTTTTTACATATTAAATAAGCAACTTTTTTTTTGTATATTTAGTAAATAACTATTCTTTCCATATAACAAATAAGCAACTTTTTTTTCTGCATATCAAATGAGTAACTTTTCTTTTTGTATATCAAATTATTAACTCTTCTTTTCGCACATTAAATAAGTGACTCTTGTTTTCATATGTCAAATAAGTAACTCTTCTTTTTACATGTCAAATAAGTAACTCTTTTTTCCACATATCAAATGAGTGACTCTTTTTTCTATATATCAAATTGGTAATTTTTTTTCTGTATATCAAATAAGTAACTCTTCTTTCCATATTTCAAATATGTGACTTTTGTTTTTGCATATCAAATGAGTGATTTTTTTTTTTGTACGCAAATGAGTAACTTTTCTTTTCACATGTCAATGACTAACTCTTCTTTCTGTATACAAATAACTGACTCTTCTTTTTGTATGTCAAATAACAGTTTACTTTCTACACGTCAAATGAGTATCTCTTCTTTCTGCACGTCAAATAAGTGATTTTTCTTTTCGCATATCAAATAAGTGACTCTTTTTTTTGTATATCAAATAAGTGACTCTTCTTTTTGCATGTCAAATGAGTTACTCTTCTTTTTACATGTTAAATGAGTGACTCTTCTTTCTGCATGTCAAATAAGTAACTCTTCTTTCGCACATCAAATAAATAACTCTTCTTTCTGCATGTCAAATAAGTGACTCTTCTTTTCACATGTCAAATGAGTAACTCTTTTTTTCGCATATCAAATGAGTAACTCTTTTTTCTATATATCAAATAAGTAACTCTTCTTTCTGCACATCAAATGAGTGACTCTTTTTTCTGCATATCAAATGAGTGACTCTTTTTTCACATGTCAAATGAGTGATTTTTCTTTCTGTACATTAAATAAGTGACTTTTTTTTATATATCAAATAAGTGACTCTTCTTTCTGTATGTTAAATGAGTAACTCTTCTTTCTGCATGTCAAATGAGTAACTCTTCTTTTCGTATATCAAATGAGTAATTCTTCTTTCCATATGTCAAATGAGTGACTTTTCTTTCCGCATATTAAATAAGTAACACTTCTTTCTACATGTCAAATAAGTAATTCTTCTTTTCACACATCAAATGAGTGACTCTTTTTTCTGCACGTCAAATAAGTGACTTTTCTTTCTACACATCAAATAAATGGCTTTTTTTCTGCATATTAAATGAGTGACTCTTTTTTCTGTATGTCAAATAAGTGACTCTTTTTTTTCACATATCAAATGAGTAACTCTTCTTTCTGCATGTCAAATGAGTGACTTTTCTTTCTGCATGTCAAATAAGTAACTCTTCTTTTGCACGTCAAATAAGTAACACTTTTTTTTGCACGTTAAATGAGTGACTCTTCTTTCTACATGTCAAATAAGTAACACTTCTTTCTGCATATTAAATGAGTGACTCTTCTTTCTATACGTCAAATAAGTAACTCTTCTTTCTGCACGTCAAATAAATAATTCTTTTTTTTGCATGTCAAATGAATAACTCTTCTTTTTGCATATCAAATAAGTGATTCTTCTTTTCACATATCAAATGAGTAACTCTTCTTTTTGCACGTCAAATAAGTAATTTTTCTTTCTGCACATCAAATGAGTGACTCTTCTTTCTGCATATCAAATAAGTGACTTTTCTTTTTGCAATCAAATAAGTGACTCTTCTTTCCACATATCAAATGAGTTACTCTTTTTTTGTATATCAAATGAGTAACTCTTCTTTTTGTATATCAAATGAGTAAATCTTCTTTTGCATATCAAATAAGTGACTCTTCTTTCTGCATATCAAATGAGTGACTCTTCTTTCTACATGTCAAATGAGTGATTCTTCTTTCCGCATGTCAAATAAGTGACTCTTTTTTTCACATGTCAAATCAGTGACTCTTTTTTCTGCATATCAAATAAGTGACTCTTCTTTCCACATATCAAATAAATGACTCTTCTTTTCACATGTTAAATGAGTAATTTTTCTTTCTGTACGTCAAATAAGTGACTCTTTTTTCTATATGTCAAATAAGTGACTCTTCTTTCTGTATGTCAAATAAGTGAACTTCTTTCTGTATATCAAATGAGTGACTCTTTTTTCACACATCAAATGAGTGACTCTTCTTTCTGCACGTCAAATGAGTGACTCTTCTTTCTGCACGTCAAATAAATAACTCTTCTTTCCACATATCAAATGAGTGACTCTTCTTTTCACATGAGTGATTCTTCTTTCTGCATGTCAAATAAGTGACACTTTTTTCCACATGTCAAATAAGTGATTCTTTTTTCTGCATGTCAAATGAGAGACTTTTCTTTCTGTATATCAAATAAGTGACTCTTCTTTTCGCATATCAAATGAGTGACTCTTCTTTCTGTATATCAAATGAGTAACTCTTTTTTTTGCACGTCAAATGAGTAACTTTTCTTTCGCATATCAAATAAGTGACTCTTCTTTCCACATATCAAATAAGTGACTCTTCTTTCCACATGTCAAATAAGTGACTCTTTTTTCTGCATATCAAATGACTATCTTTTCATTTCACATATCAAATGACTGTTTTTTCTTTTCGTATATCAAATGACTGTCTCTCTTCTCTTCTCTTCTCTTTTCTTCTTTTCTTTTCTCTTATTTTCTTTTCTCTTCTTTTCTTCCTCTTTTATTCCCTCTCTCTCTTTCTTTTTTCTTTTTTTTCTTTCTTTCTCTGTCTTTTTCTTCTTTTTCTTTCTTCTTTTTCTCTTTCTCTTCTCTTCTTTCTTCTCTTTTTCTCTCTCCCTCTTCTTTTTTCTCTCTTTCTCTAAGTTAAAGTTTATTTTATATATATAATATAATATACCCTACTTCACAAGATATATTATGTAAATAGAAATCCGCTTCGTGAGCTTTCATGTAGTATTTGAGATGATATTATATAAACAGGAACCTGCATTCATAAAAAGTTACACTCAAATTTTAACAGAGATCTCTTGAAGGCCCTGTTTATGCAGTGACCTTTCAAGAGATCTCTGTTAAAATTTGAGTATGACTTTTTTTGATTATAACTGACAATCATGCTTTAGTATTAAAGGACAACAATATTATTGTTAATATAGACATTTTAAATTTTTTTAAAACTTTGATTGAAGATATTTTAGCAACTACTTGACCAAAATCAATAAATTTTTTTTTA